ACTCACTAGGGGGGACCAGAAGGGTTTGGGGGAGACGCTGTTTCCCCTAGCGCCCGCTGGCATAACAAGAAGCAATGGGCACAAGTTGATGGAGAGGAGGTATAGATTGGACATCCGCAAGAACTACTTCACAGTTAGGGCGGCTAGGAGCTGGAACCAACTTCCAAGGGAAGTGGTGCTGGCCCCTACCCTGGGGGTCTTTAAGAAGAGGCTGGATGCTTACCTGGCTGGACTCATTTGAGTCCCGTTTCTCTTTTTGGGGTTTTTTTGTTGTTCTCCCGCCCTGGCGGGGGGTCAGGCTAGAAGATCTACTAGGTCCCTTCCGACCCTTAATCTATGAATCTATGAATCTATGGATCTATTGAAAAAGAAAGAAACAGCATCTAAGGAATGGAAGAACAGAGAGGAATACACCTGTATTGACAGGGCCTGCAGATACGAGACACAGAAAGCTAAGACAGGCATGGAAATCAAGCTGGCAACTGGCATAAAAGACAACAAAAAGTCCTTTTACAGATACATATGGAGCAAGAAAAAACTGGGATCCACTGTGAGACCTCTACTGAATAATCAGGGGCAGCCCATAGTGAATCCCCAAGAAAAGGCAGAACTACTAAAAACATACTTCACCTCGGTATTCCTGAAATCAAATGGGAGCTGTTTGCCTGACCAGAGGCCCAGGGAATATGGAGAACACAAGTGGTTATGTGAAATCAGTCCTGAACAGGTGAGGGATCTCCTACAACATCTGCACACTTTCAAGTCTGCTAGGCCAGACAACCTGCACCCAAGACTCCTGAAAGAACTGACTGAGATTATAGCAGCACCACTGGCCAAACTGTTTGAAGAATCATGGAACTATGGACTGATCCTGGATGACTGGAAGAGGGCTAATATGGTGCCCATCTTTAAAAAAGGGAAGAGGGATGACCCAGCAAACTACAGACCAGTCAGCCTGACTTTGGCCCTAGATAAAATCTTTAAAAAATTTGTTAAGGAGGCCATCAATCACAAGCTGGTACCTGAAGGGGTGTTATGAAGCAACCAGCATGGCTTTCTCGAGGGTAGATCATGCCTAACTTGGTGTCCTTCTACAACCAGGTAACTAGCCATCTGGGCGAGGGATACGAGGTTGACATCATTTATTTAGACTTCAGTAAAGCCTTTGATTATTTTTCCCACAGGATTCTCTCAAACAAACTGGAAGGTACTGGGCTGGACCAGTCTGCAGTGAGATGGGTGGACAACTGGCTTAGAGGCCACTCCCAGAGAGTTGTAACTGATGGAATGGCCTCATCCTGGAGGCCCATCTCCAGTGGTGTCCCCCATGGATCGGTGCTTGGACCTGTGCTCTTTAATATATTTATTAATGACTTGGATGAGGGGGTGGAAAGCTCTATTATTAAGTTTGCGGATGATATCAAGCTGCGGGGAAATTCAAGCACATGAGAGGATAGGGCAAAGATTCAGGATGACCTTGACAGACTGGATTCATGGGCGGAACAAAATCAGATGAGGTTTAACAAGGAGACGTGCAAGGTCCTTCACCTGTGTAGGAAGAACCCTCACCATAACTACAGGATGGGTGGTAGTCCACTGGCTGGCTCACCATCTGAATGAGACCTGGGGGTTACGATCCACCAGAAGATGAGCATGAGCCAACAGTCCAATGACATTGCCAGAAAAGCAAATATAACTCTGGCATTCATCAGCCCACGTGTGGTCAAGAGATTCAGGGAGGTACTCCTCCCTCTCTGTTCAGCATTGGTGAGGCCTCAGCTGGAGTACTATGCCCAGTTCTCGGTACCACACTTTAAGAAGGATGTGGATAAACTCAAGAGGTACAAAGAAGGGCCACTCATATGGTTCAGGGCATGGAGGGCAGGCCCTGAAGACAGACTTTGGGATCTGGGCCTGTTCAGTCTGAGTAAGAGAAGGCTAAGAGGTGACTTGATAGCTGCCTACAAGTACATCGGGGTAAGCATCAAGAACTAGGGGAGCAACTCTTCAAGACAGCACCTCAAGGGAGGATAAGGACCAACGGGCATAAACTAATAGAAGGTAAATTCAGGCTAGACATAAGAAAAAACTTTTTCTCTGTATGGGTCACCAGAATCTAAAACACACCCTCAGCAGAGGTGGTGCAGTCACCCTCCTGGGAGGTATTCAAGATGAGGCTGAACAGGCACCTTGTCAAGATCGTCTGAGCCCAATAACTTTCTGCCCATGGCAGAGGACTGGTTTTGATGATCTTACAGGTCCCTTCCAGTTCTATGATTCAGTGATATAAAAAAAAATTACAGATTTAATCATACTGATGGGGTGGAGGGGTGGATGACACTGCCAAATTTTTGTAGTCTTCATCAACTGCAAGTTCCTTAGGAAAGGCATCTAGTAAACTCTTAAGTCATTTCCAGTTCGTACCTGCAGTTTTTGATGTATAACAAATAACTCCTGATAAATCTGTTTGATATGAGATGGTATCAAGCTCTGACCACTCAATGCTTTAGTCTCTGGCCTGCTCCGAGTCTTCCTTCCTAGATCACTGCTGGTATTGTAATCACTACCTGTGACTGTATTTGCTGCCAAATTAGATGGTAAGGTGACATCTAAGAAACAAACAAACATAACAAACCATTTTATATAAAAAGTAACCCTGGTAATTTAAACTAGTAAACTAAATGAGTAATTCCTGGTACATGAAAAATGGAAACATTTTTTAGGCTCTGTACTTAGACACTGCTGTACCAGGTACCAACATGAAAAGTTAACCTCAATATGTCCTGATGTACTCATGCAACGAGTAGTCCTTGAAAACCTTTATACCTTATTTCCAGCTATTCATTTTGATTATCATTCATTATTAGTTTTCTAACCAGTGTAATTTAATAAAACTATACCTTCTAGTTTTAAAAAGCCAGATTCTAATCCACCTCTAAAATACCCAAATGGCTGTGTAAGTGGTAGGTGAAGGTAGTCTGCTAGTTCCCCCTTACTTGGCAAACTCAAAGCCAGATGACCATCAGTCCTACATGAGAATCTGCCAAGTGTGCAGAAGACAATAGCTGCTGTACAAGTGATACTGCTGGGGCCTGGCTTTGAGCTTGCCAAGATGGGGGAGCCTACTGGCTCCCTGCACTTGAGTTGCACCATGCCTGGCTTTCAATTTTTCAGTGCACATGGAGACTGGGATAACAATCCTGGGCTCCATATGCACTGGTAAACTGAAAGGGCACTTCTGACTGTGCCAGTAGTTTATGATTAATATCTGAACCCCAATCCAAAAAATCATGCATCCTGCTATGCAAGTGTGGCATGGCAAGATGCATGATTCTTGGGATCCAGGATTAAATCCCAAGGCACCATTAAATTAATGTCTTCCAGGGGCCCTAGGGCCAACTGGAACACTCCGTAGTTGTATTTTTCTGAGAAAGTATACGAATTACAGCTTCTTCTCCAAGTACTTGGATTTTTCCTTTCTGTTTTGTTTTCTTACCCAGTGACAGATCACCCTCTCATGTGGACCACCTGTTCTTAAAACTGAAATTAAGTTGGTCTAATAAAAGATACCAGATTCACCCAAAGAACCCTGTCTGCCAGATTACCATGGCTTTAATTTTATCTGATTGTGGACTAACAATATGCAGTAACTGAAAATACTTTCCAGAAGACTTAAAAAACCGGCTGATATTGTTTGTATGTAAATTATAAAGCATGACTAGATCTGCTGAAATAGTTTAAGGGCTAACTGCAGTTATATAAAATATTATCAATGAAAATTGAAATAGATTTTACTCATTTTTTACAGTTCATAAAAACTGTAACTAAATATCAATTGGATTCCCTGGGGACTCTAAATCAAGCTTTGATTTTTCATAAAAATAAGAGTTATGCAAAAATAATGATTAATATTTTGTTTTACCTGTTTCTGCGTGCATGGCTGTATTTTTAATTACATCATTTCCATAAACATTTACAATATCCTCTTCTTCTAGTTCTAGCTGACTTGAATCATGAAGATAATTTAGTTCATCATCAAAGCTAAGAAATATAAATCAGTGATAGTAATTTGAAGTTATTCAGTGCCATTGTAAACTATTATGCATGCAATTTAAAGAAGACTTGCACAGAAATACAAATGTTTCTTAATTTAATCTATCTACATTTTACTGAATACAAATAGACAACATTAAGTAATTTCCAAAGTAATTTAAAATCTCTTCAGGATGAAAGGCATTGTTATCCATCGGATTTTAAATACTAGCAAAAAATGGGGCTGATCACTTCACAAAAGAATTGGTATAGATTCATAGAAGTAGGGTTGGAGGGGACCTGAGGAGATCATCCAATCCGACCCCCTGCCCTGGGCAGGAATGAATACGGGGCTCTTATGACCCCTACTAAAGTTAAGCTCAAATGACCCCAGCTAGGTAGTTATCAAGCCTCCTTTTAAAGACCCCTAAGGTAGGAGCTAGCACAGGGGCGGGCAATTATTTTGGGCAGAGGGCCACTTACTGAGTTTCAGCAAGCCATTGAGGGCTGCATGACAGGCAGCCCATGGCAGATTAATATTAATTTTCTAAATTTTTTAGGGGCCCTCTGGGCCAGATAAAATGGCCTGGCAGGCTGCATCTGGCCCCTGGGCCGCATTTTGCCCACCCCTGAGCTAGCACCACTTCCCTTGGAAGCTGGTTCCAGATCCTAGCCGCCCTGACTGTGAAGTAGTGCTTCTTGATGTCTAGCCTGATCCTACTCTCAATGAACTTGTGGCTGTTATTCCTTGTTACTCCAGGAGGTGCTTGGGGGAACAGGGTCTCAGCCATTCCTCTCTGGTCCCCCCTGGTAAGTTTACAGATGGCCACTAAATCCCCACTCAGCCTTCTCTTGTGAAGGCTGAACAGGTTCAGGTCCCGTAGCCTCTCCTTGTAGGGTCTACCATGATGCCCCCCGATCATGTGAGTGGCCCTCCTCTGGACCCTCTCAATGCTGGCCTTTGAACTTGCCAGTGCATATGGAGCCCAGGATTGTTATCCCAGCCTCCACATGCACTGAAAAATGCTAGGTATAGATAAGTACATTTTTTATTTTTAATCTTCACTTGCATGGGAAAATTAATGCATACTAAAACACATTTCCTGCCTGTCCCCTCCTCCCACCCCCTAAAACAGGGTACCCAGAGAAGAAACTTTAGGAAGCAATATGCTGCTTTACCCTCTCTCATAAAAAGGTTTTAAAATGATCTCTTTGGAATCTTCAGAAACCAACTTCTTTCTAAAGTGATTTCAGACAATCTTGTCAATTTAAGCTGTTTCTCCTCCTTTTTTGCTTCCACCCTCTTTTTATAGTATAATCTCCACATCCCATTAGCTGATTCCAACACATACACATGGATCTTAATTCTACAAAATTATTACTGAACAAAGTAACAGGAGGCCCGAAAAAGCTGCTGAATTTAGGCCCTGTACACAGCACTGTAATCTACTACTGGATCAGACTGAACATGCTATCCAACTTATTAAGGGTTTTCCTGAATTGGTGGGGGTGGTGGAGCAGGGGA